TGGAAAAGAGAACCAGAAATATTCTGAATGAACAAAAAAAATATATCAATGACGCTTTAAAAACTGAAATAACAAACGAATTACAAAGCAAACCAGAAAAAAAAAAAAAAAAAAAAAAAAAAAAAAAAAAATTTTGAAAAAAAAAAAAAAAAAAAAAAAAAAAAAAAAAAAAAACCATTTAGAACGATAAACCAAGAAGTCCCAACGGTAGTTCCAGATATAACTACAACTACTTTATACAAACAAAACCAACAAAGATCTGACCCCTCCTCCAAAAACCAGATGAAATCACGACAAAATATGCGCAAAGTCGACAAAAACTCTTCATCTCCTTTATGGGAAGCCAAGACGCTGGAGGGAAAATGAAACAAAAAAATTGTATACATTAGGGAAACAACTGTCACTACCCAAAAACAGTTCTGTCTTTGAACAGGGTAATAACCTAATTCTAACTTACTTTCTTCTGAAAACAGATGCATGCAATGAACATAACAAAATTAGCTTGATCAAACGAACTCATTCAATTATAACTGGCTACAACCAGACATAATGAACGAAAAAATGAATAAAGAAAAAACAAAGGTTAATTTCCAAACGACTTAAACCAACATAGAGAAACATGTACAAAAAGGCGAAAAATTCTGACTACCAAAAGGAAAAATAACCACATCGGTATTTCCCCAATAACTTTCTTTAAGCATACAAAACAGAATAAATTGAACTAAATAAAGAAACGGAAGATTCTCCTCCTATGAAAATCATAAAACCTATATTTCTGTCAGAAAAGACAAGAAACAGAACAATGAATCAAAAAATGTTAAAAACCATGTAACAGTTAGGAAATACAGAAAAGAAAAAGTGCTGATGCAACAAATAACTTACTTTCTGTGCATACGCCTCAGCTCACCAAAAAAGAACAGACGCTCAAGAAATTTCGTAATCTGTCGCTGTTGCTTAATTGGAACCACAATAAAAGAAATACAAATATAAATACAAAAACAAAAATAAAAAAGAAATCCAAAAAATCTATAAATAAATAAATAAGTCCTATTGATTTTTGTTAAGCCATCATTCCACTTTATCGTCGAACTCTCAGTCTGCACTGCAACAAAGTAAAAAAAGCCAACCAGTAGCAGCAACAGCACGGCAGAATAGCAGTTATGCCATAAACGTTTAAATGGCAGGTAGAACAAAAAAACTCAAACAAGACAATAAAAACAATAACGACAACAAAACAAAAAATAATGCTGAATTAACAAAACAAAGACAAAACTTTCATGAGAATGAGAAAAACTGCGCATTGCCACTCTCTAAAACCCGCTACCAACTTCCCTCCTCTTCTTCGCCTTCTCGATTAACACGATAGGGCTTTCCTGCCCCCCCCCCCCCCCCCCCCCCCCCCCCCCCCCCCC